TCTGTTAGAAGTTCAAAATGTCAAATAATATATAAAATTTCTTTTATATTTACTCTACTTGATTTTAAATCTGCTTACAATTCTTTGGTTTTACTTTTTAGCTTTGATGAATATATAAGGAAATATAAGTTCAATATATAACCTTTGCTTAAAATGATGGCAACAGCATTTGCATATCAAACTGTGATGAAATGAAAAAGATAAATTTTTGTTTTATTATATTTTTATCAAAAGATTTCATAATTTAAAAATGAGAATGGAATTTTACATACAAATGAGAAAATCATATAGGCTTATTCTTAATTCTAAATGCTGCAATGCATCCAAATATTGTTGAAAGTAAAATAATATCAAACCATTATCATGATTGCAATTACAGATGACAATTAAATATTAGTTTTGCCATCCAGAAACCTACCGCAACGATTAAGAAAACATTTGGACTACCTATTAGAAAAAGAAGATCCACTTTGAAAAAAGAATAAGAAATCAAAAGTATGGAATAGAAATCAATGAAATTAATAAGAAAGGAAGCAGGAGAGCAAATCCATTAAAATCAGAAGAATATGGGCTATGGATTTTGAACCCTTTAAATATAGGTGGAGCGAATATAAAACTTATTGTAATAATATGCATGACATTCCAGAGGCAGGAAATTGGATTGACAAGCTGGAAAACTGTTTTAAGATGATGAGGAATTAGACTAAAAGTTCGACTCTAAAAAGGAAAGAAGCATTTCAGAATACATGAAGTAAATCGCTAAATATTTAATAAGCCTAGCATATGATCTTTTAAAAGATAATCCAAAAAATGTTATATTTTATGAAGCATTTTTCTTATTATTATAGTATGATAGTATTTTACTAGTATTTTTTCATTAAGTAGATCTATCAAAGGATTCTTGTAATAGTAAATTAACTCAGGTTTTATTAACGAAATCAAAACTGCAATCAATATTTCAATGGTAATTTTACGTTTTCAAATGGAAAACAATGCATAAAATTAATCTATGAATAAATGCCAATTTATTCAAAGCTGTTATGATGGAGTGAGCGATGGATTTAAATTTAAATCTGCAATAATCATTTAAGAATGCCGTTATTCTTCCTTAAATACAATGATACCGCAACTAAATGTGAATAATGTTTAATGGAATCAAACAGAATTTATTATTCTAGTGATTCTTATATTGGATGCTATGATACTGGAGTTGAAAATTGCCATTACTCTTGCTTAGCTTGCATTTCTGGAAATGCTAATTCCTTTACATCATGTTTCCACATGGGCAGTTCAAATATGTTACTTTATAATAATACACGGCAGTGTTTATTTGGATATTTAGATGATTGAAAATCAACATCATGTTAAAATACGATATTTAAAGTTTATGTTGTTTTGAACGATCTTGTTTATCATGTCTCTAAACAAGAAAAATAGAAATAGCCGAAAATGTCAATTAAGGCATTAAGAATGTTAGCTGGTCACTTTTTTCTAAATGTAATTCTAATTGCCTTGCATGTGAAATTACATCAAAGAATTGCGCATCTTGTGATTCTGACTAAGCATGGTACCTAACTTAAGAACTTTAATAATCAACAATATAAAATTAAGAATTAATACCTGATAGCAATAGAAACGCAATTACTATATTCTCTGACATTCTTAATGTATTCTAAAAATATAAATGACTTTTGCACTTATTTACAAGTTGAGGTCATCATATTATTTATTTCTTATTTCCTCTATATTCTTCTTAAATAAAATTTGAATTCATTTGCTACTTGCCTTCATTGAGTATCATTTATATCCTATAATTAGTTTTACTTCTAATAATAAATATTAAATAACAATAAAAAAACTATTAATATCATGGATATCTGAACAAAACCAATCCTAAAGTATTTTAATTTGAAACACAAGGCTGATAATTTGATAATTAAAACTTTGAAATTTAACCTGATAAATAATTCTGTAAATTTATTAATTAATTTAGAGAATAAGTTGAATAAAACTTAAAAATGAGCAAAATTAAGGAAAAAGAATCAGAAAATGATGATGCTTTTGGACTCTATTTAAAAAGCTAAGTAAAATAAATAAACAATAATTTTAGGAGTTAAAAAATACTTATAGAATTGAAGAATCAATAATAGAAATTAATAAAGCTTTGAACATTGATCCATAATTTTCAGAAGCATACACTTTAAGAAGTATAATTTCGAAAATACTAATTTAGGTGAATTATATGAAAATTTGAATTAATATTATTGGGCATTGATTGATGTAAATTATAGCATATCTATTAATGATAAAAATGCAGAAAGTTTTTATTAGAGAGGTATAGTTTGAATTTTAAAATCAAAGCAACCATTTATTGGAGAAAATAGTAATTTGACCAAGCTTTATAGGATTGTATGAGATGCATTGAGATAAATACAAATCATGCTATGGCATATTGTAGAATGGGTAATAATAAGAATAAACTTGTAGGTACCATCATGAGTGATTTGAAATAAAAAGATAAAGAACTTTATTATTATAATTATGCTTTGGAAAAAGATTGTTATTGTTTTTATGCATTTATGTGTAGAGGTAAAATAATGTGAAAAAAAGGCTTGTATTATGAGGACGAAAGCCTAATCGATCAAGCTTTTAAAGATTACAATGAAGCTATTAAAATTAATCCAAAATATAGTTAAAGCTACTATAATAGAGGTGAATATACTACACATAATATAAAAGGCAATTTATATAAAAAGATTGATGAGAATGATAATGCATTAATTGATTACAATCAAGCAATTTAACTTAATCCAAAATTTATTAATGCCTACTACAAAAGAGGTAAATACTATTACGCTTAATATATAGGCGCCTTATTTTATGATATTGGCTAGAATGAAAATGCGTTAATGGATTATAATCAAGTAATTGAATTAGATCCATAATATACTGATGCCTACATTAATAGAGGTGAATACTATTAAGCTTAATATATTAGGCGTTTTATATTATCAAATAGGAGAGAAAGACAAAGCATTAAATGATTATAAACAAGCAATCCAAATCGATCCATAAAATACAGATGCTTATTTAAGTTTAGGTAAATACTATTACACTAAATAAATTAGGTGTGCTTTATTATAACATTGGTGAGAAATAGAACGCATTATTTTATTATAATCAAACAATCTAAATTGATCCAAAATACAATAAAGCCTACTATCAAAGAGGTGAATACCATTAAACTAAATATTTTAGGGCGTGTATTTTATGATATTGGTGAGAAAGACAATGCATTATTTGATTATAATTAGGCAATCCAACTTGATCCAAAATACACAGAAGCCTACTATCAAAGAGGTGAATACTATTAAGCTTAATATATTAGGCGTTTTATATTTTGATTCTGGTTTGAAAGACAATGCCTTAATGGATTATAATAAAGCAATCCGACTTGATCCAAAATATACTAAAGCCTTACTTAAAAGAGGTGAGTACTATTACACTTTATTGATTAGGCACTTTATATTATGAAACTGGCGAGAAAGAAAAAGCATTCTGTGATTATAATCAAACAATTCAACTTGATCCAAAATACGCTAAAGCCTACCATAAAAGAGGTGAAATTACTTTACTGAATATATTAGGAGTTTTATATTATGATATTGGAGAGAAAGAGAAAGCATTATATGATTATAATTAAGCCATCCAACTTGATCCAAAATATTCTGAAGCCTACTATAAAAGAGGTAAATACTATTGCACTTAATTTATTAGGTGTTTTATATTATAAAATTGGTGAGAAAGACAAAGCATTATATGATTATAATTAAACAATTCAACTTGATCCACAATATGCTAAAGCCTACTATAAGAGAGGTGAAATTATTTTACTGAATATATATTAGGTGATTTATATTATGATATTCGAGAGAAAGAGAAAGCATTAGATGATTATTATCAAGCCATCCAACTTGATCCTGAATATTCTAAAGCTTACTATAAAAGAGGTAAATACTATTGCACCTAATAAAATAGGCAATTTAAAAAAAGAAACTTCTCAAAACGAGTCTGCACTTTATGATTACGATCGAGCAATCCGATATAATCCATAATTTAGTAATGCTTACATGAATAGAGGTTAAGACTATCACACTTAAATAATTAGGCGATATATATAACAAAATTAATTAGAAAAACAAAGCAATACTGGATTATAATCAAGTAATCCAACTTGATCCAAAATCAACTTAAGCCTACTATAAAAGAGGTAAATACTATTGCACTTAATATATTAGGTGCTTTATATTATAAAATTGGAGTGAAAGACAATGCATTAATTGATTATAATCAAGCAATCAAACTAAATCCAAGATTTATTAGTGCATACTATAAACGAGGTGTGTACTATTATATTAGTATATTAGGAGTTTTATATTATGATATTGGTTAGAAAGATTATGCACTACTTGATTACAATTAAGCAATCCAACTTGATCCAAATTTTGCTAGCGCTTACTATAAAAGAGGTGAACACTATTAAGCTTGATATATTAGGCGTTTTATATTGTCATATTGGCGAAAAAGCTAATGCGTTATTTGATTTTGCTCAAGCAATAAGAATCGATCCAAAATTTGCTAACACTTACATGAATAGAGGTAAATACTATTATACTTTATCTTAGGTGTTTTATATTATAAATTTGGTGAGAAAGACAAAGCATTAATTGACTATAATCAAGCAATCCAACTAAATTAAAAATATACTAAAGCATACTATAATCGAGGTGAACACCATTATACTTAATATATTAGGAGTTTTATATTATGATATTGGTGAGAAAGACAAAGCATTAATTGATTATAATTAAGCAATCAAATAAGATTACAAATTTTCAAATGCCTACATTAATAGAGGTAAATGCTATTACACAAAACATTTTAGGCAACGTATATAAAAAAAATGGCTAGAATGACAAAGCATTAATTGATTATAATTATGTGATCCAATTTGATGAAAAAAATGTTTAAGCCTATGTCAATAGAGGTGATACTGTTAATATTAACTTACTAGGCAATTTATATAAAAATGTTGGCTAGAAAGACAAAGCATTAATGGATTATAATCAAGCGATATAGTATGATCCAAAATTTACTATTGCATATTATAATAGAGGTGAATACTTTTGCAGTTAGTATCTTAGGTGTTTTATATTATGAAATGGGAAAGAAGGACAAAGCATTAATTGATTATAATCAAGTAATTTAACTCGATCCACAATTCACTAAAGCGTTATATAATAGAAGTGAATACAATAAATTAAATATATTAGGCATTTTATATTATGATATAGGTGAGAAAGAGAAATCATTAATTGATTACAATTAAGCAATCTAAATTGATGTAAAATAGTCATATATTTAATGAAATTGATCTGATGAAATTACATATACAATACAATATTAATTTGATAATATACATATATTTTAATTTATCAGGAATGCATCAAATCAATTTTAGGTTTAAACTATTTTAGAATAAATCATAAGGAAAGAAATTAATTTTATAAAATCATAATAAAGCAAATTATCAAAAATGATTTCTACATTTTAGTAATCCTAAAAATATTTTAATTAGAAAATCAATATATGAATAATAATAAATGAATAATATTTGAGCAAGTAACAATTAAAAGTCATCGTAATCAAAATAATTTGAATAATCATTGTAAATCTACCTTATACTGTTCTAAAAATTAATAAGGTTAAGTTCTTATCCTACACAAAAATTTATAGTTCAAAATTAATCAGATATTGTATTTATTGTGCCAGTATTTTTACCTGCAACCAGATCTTCTCCATGTAATACTTGACAGCATCCAGAACCAGAGAGATACATCATTACAAACACGATAGGTGATGTACTGAAAGCTTTCACCACCTCAATCGAATAAATATTAAAGGAATAATATCATTTTATATAATCAATTTTTAATATTAAAAAAAATATTTAAAAATAAGTGTCAAAGCACTGCTCTTTAAAAAGGATCACGCATAATTATTTAATTTCAATTTAAAAAATGATTGCATAGTATATTAAATATTGCTTTATTGTTCTGACTTCAATAGTAATCATTAATTCTTGACATTTTAATTAATTTGAGATAAAATATCATGTAAGTCCTTATTATAATAATTAAGGTTACTTGCATAAATTCATTTTGGAAATTTAAGAATATTTATACAGTATATGGTAATGATAAAACTTACCATTGATTTTTATGCTCAATTGGGTTTCAAATTACTGAAGACTTTATAATTAATTTAATATAATTGAATACAATATATTTGATTAATGAAAAAGATAATAAAAGAATTTGAGCTTCAGTAAATCACAACCAAAGAGAGTGATAAATTGTCTCCAATAAATTTTAATTTTTTCTTAAACTTCTTATTCTAATGAAGTAACAAATTGTAATTTCAAATATGTTCTTTAAATAGCTGAATTATATTTCATAATTGATTAAAAGCTAGATAAGAGAGAAGAGTGCAATTAATTTAAGTGTTCGGATTAATAGCTTAGGGGGTTTCAACTATATTCAAAGTTAAGAGTCATATTAATTAATTATTGAATCAATCAATCCATAAAATATACCAAAAAAATAACCTTAGGTCACATTTATCTTGGATACAGTATCTATAATCTTGGAAAAATCTAATGTGGATTCATCCTCTATGATGTCCATAGTAATCTAAAAGGGAACTTAATTATGCTTTGGATAGTTTAGGCTTTTTTTTTTGAAAATGAATTCTAATGGCTATATTAGAAGGGAACTCCCTTTGAGTACTGTTAATCAACCGCTGATAGAACGAGGAGCATATATGATTCCCTATTTGTGTAATATTTGATATGAAATATTATAGTATTCAAAAGCTAAATAAAGATTTTGAGTTAATATATCTATAATACTTTTAATTGCATAAGAAAAACATGAGAGAAGATAAAGGGAAAAGAAATATCAAGATTCATTTATTGTGGGTATGGCTTAGAGGATGAAACTACGGTGGGCTATACTCATTCTAATACACTGATAACTTTTATTTAAAGATGACGATTGGACATTTAAAGGAAAATTCTAATGAAAATTCATTAAGAAAAATTATCAAATGGTCTGTGGTAAATCATTAAAAAGATATCTGAAAAATTAGTCTATTTGGTTTAAGAATTCATCAATAGTGATCGAGTCTATGTTTACTATCTACTAGAATCAGCCAGATGTAACACAAAGAGAATTAATAAACTAATCGACTTCATTAAATTAGAAGATACTATCAATAAATCTAAAGTGAACAAAATGATTTCTGTAAGGCAATATACTTCTGTTCCTGAAAATGTTTAATATAAATAGAAGTCGTTAAATTTAATTTAGTAGCTAAATAAGATCATGAATTACCATTGATAATAAAGTAGTATGAGTCAAATTTCTGTTTTCTCACCTCCCATTTAAATGAGGATTATCAAATTGAAGAGGCCTAAGGAACTTCCTGTAGGATGCCAAAAAAGGGTAGGGAAGCATTATTTTGTGGAGGAACTAGTATTTTAAGTATTTTGTATTTTTGCAATATACCAGAATTAATAAAGTCATAAATACTAAATTTAATATTTTTATAAAATGAATTAGACGAACAAGCCTTAAGGATGGGTTAGTAATTAGGACAGTTGTCTTAATATGATCGTTCATAAAATGAGATGGAATGGTGCAAAAGCGTAATTCCATATGCATATGGATACATACAGGTAAACAGACGATTAATCATTAGAAAACCTTTTGGGGTGTGAGTTCTCTCATCAAACAAGAAAGGAGGCTATCCTTCATTTATTAGGGAATGCAAGGAATTTAATTTAAGGATTTTGTTGAAAAATGGATGATTAAATCATGTAGGTTTTAAAAATTAAATTAACATTATGTTAGAAAATATTTGTCTACGTTAAAATTTAGAATAATGTTTAAGGAATTTGGATAATATTACCTAAGATCAATTTATTAATAATTACAAAAAATATTTTCGGTTACATCTTTTTATTTGAAAATAGTATACTTATAAGAATATTTAAATTATTCACAATTTGAAGGTGTAATAAATAAAAATAATAGAATTTAATATGAAGAGATTGTAAATAAATTAAGATAGCAAGAATATAATTAGATGGATAAGGAAGGTTTAAATGAATAGATTATTGGATTTGAGCACATTCAAAAATGATATTAAAAGAGAGGTTGAATAATCCAAATTTGACAAAATCTAGAGTCTACCTTATAAGAAATTTAATTTTAACATTCTAATCATCAAATTACCTTTAATCAATGATGATAGAATACAAAAATAAGATTAGGAGAGAAAAGTCATATTGGAGAAAAAAATTCTATCAAAAAGAGTTCAATTATCATATGGAGCATCAAATATTTACACCTTGTAATTAGAACTTTGAGAAACTAAATCTTAATTGCTAGACATTCAAAAAAATCAATGATAAATAAATAGAGAACAGAGTATGAAGAGCAAGTTAAGATAGAGAAAATACTTAGCAAAATGTTTATAATATATAATTTATTAAGCAGCCACATTTTTCTATATATTTATAAATAAAATTAAATAATAATTAATTAAAATGGGATCAATTTTCGGCTTTCATAAAGAAGTTTAGATTTGCACTGGTTGTCGTGAAATATTAGAACCTGATTAATTTTATTGTAGAAGGTGCAAAACAAAAGGACTCAAATTTTTTGGTTTTGCATGTTTTTTAGCTATTTTAATTCGTGGATCAGTAGCCTTACAATTAAGCGACAATTGGATAGAAATGCTGACTTTTCTGATGGTAACCTCATTGATTTGTTGTTTTTGTATATGCGGGAGTAAAGTCACCACGGGAAAAGTAAAAGGAAAATATATAGAATATGAAGAATGATATTATTTGTTTATCATTAAATTAAAACTTAATAAATTGAATTATCATCAGATAAACAAACCAATTTTAATAAAATCATAGCCCTATTTGCAAGTTAGAAGATTTTAAAATTGTAATTACATTCAACTAAATTATCAAACATAAATAATAAATCTCCTATCTAATCAAGATAAATATAAGTTTTATTGACAATATTACCATTATAAAGAACTTCGTAATAATAAAACTATTAAAGGAATAATATTTATTAATCAAATATCAGTTCCACAAAACATACAAAGTAAATCCAAATCTTCTTTGTTAATATAATGTGTGACATCTTTGATAGCTGAAAATGGAATCTCTTCATGTGGTTCTCTCTTTAGAACTTTAAATATTAATCTATTGTAATATTCAAATAGCATATCTAAAAATCGTCACTATTTTAAATATACTTGGATAAAAAACTTTAGAAAACTGGAAGATTTAAGCCCAACATAATTGCCCATTGCCATCCTTATCTGAAATTTAAATATATAGGTTTAATTTTAAACCAAATATTTGGCTCTAATGCTTACCATCAATTTCAGGAATTAATTCCAATTCAAAAACCTATAGAATTAAAATCGATTGTATTAAAGATTTTCAAGCTAAATATTCAATCCTCATAATATCTAATAAATTCCCATTATTAGAAAGAATGATTTGATGAAAAAATAAAGTCAGCTCTTACTTTTTTACAAAATTTCTTTAGAAAAGAATGGCAAACAATTAAAGGAGGTAATAATTTTAAAATAAAGTCATTTCACATGCTGAATCTCATGGGTCTTATACTTAGAGAGTTTATACGTCTTAAGAATATTTCTAATAGAAAATAATGTGATTATTAAAATAAAGTGGAATGATTATATGAGGAATGTGTAAAAATATTTACATCTCATCTAATAACAAATCAATATTAAGGTCAATTTTCTCGATCCTTAATTTTGATGCTAAATCGATGGATTATCATATGAAACTTAATTACTTGATATAAATCTTTATAGTTTTTACCCTTCATTACACTTAATTTATAAACAACAGAATAGAAAATTTGATCGAAGTCTATTACCAGTTTTAATGGGTGAATAATATAAAATAAATCATAGTTTATATTTAAAATGTAAATTGAATTTTTTAATAAAAAATACTTCACAAGAAAGTATAATTATTATTTTCATTTATCATAAAAATTATTAGAAGGACATCGATAATGAAGAATGGTTAAATCACAAAGACAGAATTAAAATCATATCAGCTTTGGTGTTTAACAAATATCCTCAAATCAGGAATATTTTTTTCAATATATATTATTTTTTCAACTTAAATTGAGATAATTACAGAAACTTGTTATAACTATGTGAACCAACCTATTATATAAGAAAATGCTTTTAAAAGGAGAATAGGCCTACCAAACTTATGATATGCAGGTAGAGATAGCGGAAAACCAAACCAGCATATCATGCCACTAAAGAGGACTTTTATTGTAAATTGCTATATTCTTAAAGGTTATGATTTTATAAAGAAAAACGTCCTTGTTTAAGTATTTTTAGTGGAATGCTGTACAAATTTTGTCGTGTTGATTACAAAAATTACTTTGTTTGTTTAAGAGATGAGTAAAATACTAAAGCTTGCTTGGCCTAAGGTTTGCTTCAAACTAGAAGACTAATTGTATTTAGCTGAAAATTTACAAGGACGTAACGAATGTAGGGAAAAGGAATTTTCTGACGCTGAAGTGGCAATTAGTACAATTTTGGAGAAGTATGGCATGAGAATCGAAAAAGGAGTGGAAAGTATTGCTTAAAAAGTTCTTATCTTCTGATTGATAATACCTAAATCTAAATGTCTAAGAAACCCTAAGAACTCAATGGTAAATAAATCTATTGAATCTCTCAATTAGTGGTCAAAAATAATACGAAAAACCAACAAGTTGATGTTTGGTTAAATTGAACACTTTCGAGATAAGTAAGTTAATTTGTTAATAGTCCAATTGACTAAACAGTTATAGACTGGTGAGCTAATTTATCATGAGATGGTAAAACTACAAGCCTAATTAAATAATTAGTGTCAGCAAATGAACAAAGAGGAGAAGGCGAAAATACCCTAATAAAGAGGAATAAGAGAATATTAATTAGGTTTAATAATGCTGTCATAGAATAATCATTTCAATGCAGCACTATCTATTATTCAAGTAAGAGCAAAGAATCGGCTAATTGAAAGCAGATCTTACTAATCCTAGCTAGTTTCAAAAAAAGACATGCTTAGCCGATTGACAGTAGCCAACTTTAATACCAACCTTTATCACCTTCTAAGGTTCATAGTTAAGTTATTATTGATAAATAAGGAGAATGATTGGACAAGATAAACAAACATTTTATCGAGATTTAAAAGTTCCTCTACATGACTGCAATGCAAAATATGAAATGTTAAAAATTTAGGAGTGCTCATTTCAAGAATAAATGGCAGGACTAACAAATATTAAATGGATTAAAACAAAAATTCGAGTTCTTTAAACTGTTTTTAATATTTATACCAACCGTATCTTAGGACAAAAGATTGTCAAAGCAAAAGTTATGCACTTGTAACTGCCACTAACAAAGCTTGATTTAGTTTCAGCTTCTAATTAATAAACCTGCCTTATAGTTAATGTTCGATAAATTCAAGTTATTAAATGTAGCTCTTAATATAAATCAATGTTAATATTTAAGAACTATTTATATAAATTTAAACCTAGAGAATAAGTAGAGTAGTTATGAATAACTTTAGAAATCTCTAATGCTTATTCTAAAATGCTGTCAGTACACCTGAATTAAAAGTCGTACTTTCACTAAACTAATATAGCGATTTCATGATTGCTAACATCGAGGACAGCGTAAAATCAATATAAAATTAACATCTGAACATTTAGATAATTCTCAGCTAGCATTTAAATAATAATCATGCCTTTGAATATCATGAATACAATGATATGAATCTAGTTGCAACACTTGATACATCAAAATTATTGATTCATTATATTTGTCAAGTAACNGTACAAATTTTGTCGTGTTGATTACAAAAATTACTTTGTTTGTTTAAGAGATGAGTAAAATACTAAAGCTTGCTTGGCCTAAGGTTTGCTTCAAACTAGAAGACTAATTGTATTTAGCTGAAAATTTACAAGGACGTAACGAATGTAGGGAAAAGGAATTTTCTGACGCTGAAGTGGCAATTAGTACAATTTTGGAGAAGTATGGCATGAGAATCGAAAAAGGAGTGGAAAGTATTGCTTAAAAAGTTCTTATCTTCTGATTGATAATACCTAAATCTAAATGTCTAAGAAACCCTAAGAACTCAATGGTAAATAAATCTATTGAATCTCTCAATTAGTGGTCAAAAATAATACGAAAAACCAACAAGTTGATGTTTGGTTAAATTGAACACTTTCGAGATAAGTAAGTTAATTTGTTAATAGTCCAATTGACTAAACAGTTATAGACTGGTGAGCTAATTTATCATGAGATGGTAAAACTACAAGCCTAATTAAATAATTAGTGTCAGCAAATGAACAAAGAGGAGAAGGCGAAAATACCCTAATAAAGAGGAATAAGAGAATATTAATTAGGTTTAATAATGCTGTCATAGAATAATCATTTCAATGCAGCACTATCTATTATTCAAGTAAGAGCAAAGAATCGGCTAATTGAAAGCAGATCTTACTAATCCTAGCTAGTTTCAAAAAAAGACATGCTTAGCCGATTGACAGTAGCCAACTTTAATACCAACCTTTATCACCTTCTAAGGTTCATAGTTAAGTTATTATTGATAAATAAGGAGAATGATTGGACAAGATAAACAAACATTTTATCGAGATTTAAAAGTTCCTCTACATGACTGCAATGCAAAATATGAAATGTTAAAAATTTAGGAGTGCTCATTTCAAGAATAAATGGCAGGACTAACAAATATTAAATGGATTAAAACAAAAATTCGAGTTCTTTAAACTGTTTTTAATATTTATACCAACCGTATCTTAGGACAAAAGATTGTCAAAGCAAAAGTTATGCACTTGTAACTGCCACTAACAAAGCTTGATTTAGTTTCAGCTTCTAATTAATAAACCTGCCTTATAGTTAATGTTCGATAAATTCAAGTTATTAAATGTAGCTCTTAATATAAATCAATGTTAATATTTAAGAACTATTTATATAAATTTAAACCTAGAGAATAAGTAGAGTAGTTATGAATAACTTTAGAAATCTCTAATGCTTATTCTAAAATGCTGTCAGTACACCTGAATTAAAAGTCGTACTTTCACTAAACTAATATAGCGATTTCATGATTGCTAACATCGAGGACAGCGTAAAATCAATATAAAATTAACATCTGAACATTTAGATAATTCTCAGCTAGCATTTAAATAATAATCATGCCTTTGAATATCATGAATACAATGATATGAATCTAGTTGCAACACTTGATACATCAAAATTATTGATTCATTATATTTGTCAAGTAACATTAAACCGTCGACTAACATAATGAATCACAATGTTTTGGATTTATTTGCAAAGTTTTACCTGTCCAAAAGATTGCTTCATTAAATTACTCAAGCATTCTTAAACACTGCGCTATTATTTAAATACTAATCCTACCTTTGCAATGTAATGAATTAAGATGATTGATATTATTTGCAATGCCTTATCAGTCTAAATGATGGCTTAGTCAATTTAATTAAGTAGCATCATAATAACATTTTCTTTCATATAAATTAAACTCATCGCAAACACATCAATTAAATCTTGCCTTTCCTATATAATGGGTAATAATTATTTGGAACTACTTAAAATGCATTATCATCCTAGTTGATTGCGTTATCATAATAACCATGCATTCTTAAACTCTCGACTATAATATTATTTATAATCATACCTTTACAATGTTAAGAATTACTATAATTTGGACCTTGTTACAATGCTTAATCTACCAAAATGACTGCTTCACTATATTTATAAAGCAACTTAAAATTATTTAAAATTACCGACATAAAAATACTAAGTCTCAGAAATATCAATTTCACTACTTATACATTAGATACACTATAAACTATCTGCTTTATCAGTTTTATCTAAGCATTCTAATTTCCGTCTTTTTAATCATCTGAATTTTGATATATGATTGCAGCACCATAATCTTGATTCATAATTAATATTAAATTTTTTTCTAACTCTATTAATATTTTATCGAAGATTTTTAAACAATTATTATTGTAATGTCTTAGGTTTCAATTCTGTAAATATCCAGTATAAATAATATAATTTTGAGATAAAATATTATAATTCATACTTTTGGAATCTTAATAGTGATTGCAAGCACTCTATAGTAAATTAACTCTTAATTATTGTTTAAAATTTATAGTTAACAAAAGGAAACTATTTCTAATACAAAATTTAACATGTCTAAATTTCCTAAGGGAGTAATTTTAATCATCAATTCATAAAACATAATTTCTTTTCTTTAAGAGATTCTTCAATAAAGTCCTATCTCAATATAATATATTAGCTAAAAGAATTATTTTTTTTAAGTAGAAAATGAACTAGTCTTATCCCATAGTGGAGTTAGCTATTTTATAATTGGAGGATTTTTTATCATCAATTTAATAATTTACAATAAATAGCAGAATGCACTGATTTTTCTATATATAATTAAACTTTGTAGATTCTCATTCTGATTGCAATTTACTTCTTTAAACAATATCAGCCTAAATTCACTTTGAGTTGCAAAATTAAATTTTAATTCGCAATTGCAAAAGCCAAGTAACAATTCAACCAATATTTAAAAGCAGGTTTTAATTAAAGTTTTGATAATAATTTATTTATAATTAATTTAACTTCTAGTATTTTTGGTGCACTTTTATATACATCGCTTATAATAATATACTCTGCATTATATGATATATAGTCAAACCACTCTAAATTTTTTAAGTTTAATTGGAACTTTGATCACCTTTAATTTGCTATGCCATAATAATATTTTAACGGATTGCATAGAAAATTACGCGATATGAGATATTTAAATTCAAATTTTTCTAAGAACTCTTTTTAAAAAGAATGTATTAGTAGAAATCAAATGCTTATATTTAATGAAGATTTCAAATAAACAATGTGGGTTTCGAAGATTAAGACCTAATGAGCTGAGTAAAATGTTAACTAAATACAAGATCAGAAAAAAATTTAAAAACAACTATTATGACTAGGAATTATAAACTGAATCAGGCTAAGGAAGTATTAATTCATACTTCATAATATGACTATTAAGCAATATGTAGGTTCAAATAATATTTTTGATAAGCACCATTAAATATTTGTTTTTTATTTCATGACAGGGTTAAAGTATCTTGTTTTGTATATCAAGAACTCTTATTTTTAGTTAGATAAATGAAAGTTTTTTTTTGATTCTTATAATTATAAATTATTAAAAAAGAATACTCAGCAGTTTCCTAAATATTGAGAACTAAAAATTGATAATCAAACTACTTTACAATATATGGAATGAGTCTTGAATTAAATTATAAACAAATTCGTAAATTGTTAATAATTATTTAAGGAAAAATCAAACTACAAGATTATTCAGTAAGTGTAAATTTAGAATTGTCTAAAATTTATGTGGAATAAAATATATGGAAATACTTGGATTATTAAATGCTCATTAATAAAAATCTAAGTGATAGCATATCTAAAGCAATGATTTAATTTCCCAACTCTTCTTGTTGTTTGATTTTCATATCTTCTCCATTTAATTTTTAAGTTTTCTAAATTTTGTTTTGATTTAGTTTACTTCTGTTAGCTTTTTTTTTCTACACTTTTTAAGATTTAAAATACGATTATATAAGGTGGTTTGGATAAACATGATATATATTGCCAATAAAGCATTATCTATTTGATAATATTTTGGAATGTGAACCTTAGTCTATCACTTATTCTATTATATGAAACAACTCCTGATAAAGATCAATTTTTTTTGATTCAGTAGAGAAGTAGCAAACTTTGATTCCAGCATATTTAAAGTTAAACACATTTTAGAAACAACTTTAAGAAAATACTGGCTATTGAAACAACCACATTGTATTTGAATAAATAATAACCTATAAAATCGATTTAACACTTGGATAATATTATGCATTACGTAATAGAATAATTTAAGCTTAATTAATTATATATAATAATCAGCTATAAAAAAGGGGATTACTAAACAAAATAATTGGTAAGTAAAACGATAAATAAGTGATGCGATAACGTCATCAGGTCCATCATTTTGGNTATAATAGAAAGATAGTCAAACCACTCTAAATTTTTTAAGTTTAATTGGAACTTTGATCACCTTTAATTTGCTATGCCATAATAATATTTTAACGGATTGCATAGAAAATTACGCGATATGAGATATTTAAATTCAAATTTTTCTAAGAACTCTTTTTAAAAAGAATGTATTAGTAGAAATCAAATGCTTATATTTAATGAAGATTTCAAATAAACAATGTGGGTTTCGAAGATTAAGACCTAATGAGCTGAGTAAAATGTTAACTAAATACAAGATCAGAAAAAAATTTAAAAACAACTATTATGACTAGGAATTATAAACTGAATCAGGCTAAGGAAGTATTAATTCATACTTCATAATATGACTATTAAGCAATATGTAGGTTCAAATAATATTTTTGATAAGCACCATTAAATATTTGTTTTTTATTTCATGACAGGGTTAAAGTATCTTGTTTTGTATATCAAGAACTCTTATTTTTAGTTAGATAAATGAAAGTTTTTTTTTGATTCTTATAATTATAAATTATTAAAAAAGAATACTCAGCAGTTTCCTAAATATTGAGAACTAAAAATTGATAATCAAACTACTTTACAATATATGGAATGAGTCTTGAATTAAATTATAAACAAATTCGTAAATTGTTAATAATTATTTAAGGAAAAATCAAACTACAAGATTATTCAGTAAGTGTAAATTTAGAATTGTCTAAAATTTATGTGGAATAAAATATATGGAAATACTTGGATTATTAAATGCTCATTAATAAAAATCTAAGTGATAGCATATCTAAAGCAATGATTTAATTTCCCAACTCTTCTTGTTGTTTGATTTTCATATCTTCTCCATTTAATTTTTAAGTTTTCTAAATTTTGTTTTGATTTAGTTTACTTCTGTTAGCTTTTTTTTTCTACACTTTTTAAGATTTAAAATACGATTATATAAGGTGGTTTGGATAAACATGATATATATTGCCAATAAAGCATTATCTATTTGATAATATTTTGGAATGTGAACCTTAGTCTATCACTTATTCTATTATATGAAACAACTCCTGATAAAGATCAATTTTTTTTGATTCAGTAGAGAAGTAGCAAACTTTGATTCCAGCATATTTAAAGTTAAACACATTTTAGAAACAACTTTAAGAAAATACTGGCTATTGAAACAACCACATTGTATTTGAATAAATAATAACCTATAAAATCGATTTAACACTTGGATAATATTATGCATTACGTAATAGAATAATTTAAGCTTAATTAATTATATATAATAATCAGCTATAAAAAAGGGGATTACTAAACAAAATAATTGGTAAGTAAAACGATAAATAAGTGATGCGATAACGTCATCAGGTCCATCATTTTGGCTCATTATTATTATTGCGAAATTGACAAGTTATCATTTGCCAAATTATATTTATTTTTGATTTTATGTCAAAGTTGCTTATTCCTGCTATTATATAATCTGATCCTTAATTATATTTTGAATTGCAATGGAAAATTATGAGGAAATAATTTTTAAAGTTTCAATCATCTCTACTACAACTTTTCTATAGGTTTACAGAACTAATATAATAAGGTTAGAATAAAATACGACAGAAGAAACAGATGAGTTTTTATCAGTCTAAAAAGACAATTATGAATTATAAGATTAAAATTCAACATAATTTTTACTTTTGACTCCAAACATGCAGGCTCAACCTATAGTTGCGGGCCTCACCTTTAAATCTAACTCTCTTTCCCCTTATCATTTCTTGACCTTTCTAGATGTCATCACATCACATCAATCTACTTTCTCTCCTTCAATTCTATATTCGGATTAGGGAGGAGCCTCCTGTTCGGTTTATGTTTATGGCACCATCAAGAAATTATGGTAAAAAATTTATTAAAATATATAAATATCAAATGCAACATTTTAAATGTTTAATCATCTTTTAATCTAGAATCTAATTAATTATATTAAGGCTTATAAATTTCCCTTTATTTATTACTTATAATAACCATATAATATCTTATTAAATTTAACCTTACTTTCTGAACACATTCCACTAATCTTGTGGTTGTGCCAAAAACAGCTCAACTATGATGGATTGATTAGAAAAAATATCATTTTTGCAGACGTGTTACTATATATATGCAAATTTTTATGAGGGAGTTAATTTATTCGTGTTTGCATCTTAGATGTCAAGTAGTAATTCTCACTATTAGATACCTCTGAGTAAAAATAAGGCTAAAAAAAATTGAGGAAGAAATTAAAACAATTTTAAAAAATTTTAATATGGCATATTTTTCATAAAAATTTATTGATTATTTAGATTTCAATTAAACTGTTAAGTACCTATAGCATTATTGAATGTATCTATCATTAAATTTATATATATAAGGGTGAGAGATTAGATTTTTAAGCCTGGCGCTTTCAGCATTTTTAAGATTGGTTTACAAAGATGAAAAAGCAAAATATTTCTGAAATGTCAAGGATGTTTCTCTTTCAACAAAATTTTCATTTTTGTAAAAGTTGTATTTTTAGAAGGCAACAATTATTTTTGGTTCCATCAAGTTGAAAATTATCTTCTGGTTTCCATCAATCATTTAATTTTCAAAATATTGAGGAAGAATAAGATCAAAAAAGGTATTTTTTTTTTGGGTTTTATTTGAAATTCTATATAATTTTATGGTAAAAGTCATAATAATTTTAATGTTATCACAATAACCAGTAATCTACCTTCAAAATTAAATACTGTTATAATGGTAATGAAGGCAATGTCAATGAAAATCAAAGGATTAGCTTTAAGTGGTAAAGTTAAGTTTTGTTATTACTTTAAAGCAATTTTAAGAATTACATGTTCATTGATTTATATATGCTGCTTTAAGAGTGAGATATTGGAAAATAATCCAATTCTTTTTATCTTTTTTTGAAAGAGTAACAATTTTCCTATATGGCGTATATGATTGAAAATTACAAAGCATCAAACGAGGAAGATTTTATAAAGGGTCACTTTCGATAAATGAAGATATGGTTGGTATTTAGACGAGCTCAAACTTGAGGTAAGGCATATGCTCTCATCAATTAGAATATAAGCTTCAGAGCTTAAATAATTTGATAAATTTAAGATTTTCAGATAAAAATTTTTCAATTGCCAGCATCCTATTATAGTAAACAACTCGATAAAGATGTTTAAATTGTTATTAATTTTTCTAAAAATATTTACTTGGATTTAAATTCAGAAATAAAAAGTTGTATGGTCAATTTCCCTAAGGAAATTTCATAATTAAATCATCGAATCGAAGAGAGTATTGTTTATAATACATAAAGGTTTGACCAGATTTTTTTAAATTGCACTCTGAAGAAAGCATCTCAAAAATTTAAAAGAGACAACCTTGATCCATGTAATGAATAGGAAATAAACAAAACTAAAGCAATAATTCAGAATAAACAACGCTAATGATGAATATTGTGATGGTGATAAATTGTGAGCACTTAAATATGAAAAAGGTCTATCACAAGCAACTGTAAAAGTGGATTTTGATCCTAATAAAGTAAGAGTAAGTAAAGAAATCTTTTAATAGGAAAAAGGGAGAAAGAAATAAATCAAAAATCAAACAGGTAAAAGTGCTATGCATAAAAAAGGGTATTAAATAATTAAAAGTAATAATTCTATTAGGAGAAACAATAAAAAGTGCTGTAAAAATATATTTTTTAAACTTGGGAAGTAATATTAGAAAGTAATAAAGAACAAAAATATTGAGATGATCTTGATTTAAATATAACGCTTTAGTAAAGTTTGAAACAAGATATTAATAATGTCAAAAAGAAAAATTCAAATCGAAATAAAGAGGAAATAATTTCCACAAGATTTAATAGCTATTAAAATTCTTGCTAATGTTATTAAACTCAAATCAGAAGACCCTATTGACGCAAAGAAAATCTCTTCACGAATATCGATTGTTCAAGCATTTAATTTGGAAATATGATATCAATTATTTTATAAAGTGAGGACGAGGAATAGCAGACACCAATGACAGCTAGAGAAAGAAAAGCAAGAAATAATCAATACAGAAGCCTTGATATTCTTATTACTAGATTGAGCAGACAAGGATATTAAAATAGTTGTGATTATCTTGAAATTTCACATCTTGTTTTTATAAATCTTTCGAACTCTATAAAAAAGTCAATTTTACATTACTCTTTCATTACTATCAATTTAGGTTACCTATATTTTTCAGTTTTAATTGATATTTGTTTTCTATTGCATTTTTCTTGCCTTATGACTTTGCTTACTAAGCTATCTGAAANGTGAGATATTGGAAAATAATCCAATTCTTTTTATCTTTTTTTGAAAGAGTAACAATTTTCCTATATGGCGTATATGATTGAAAATTACAAAGCATCAAACGAGGAAGATTTTATAAAGGGTCACTTTCGATAAATGAAGATATGGTTGGTATTTAGACGAGCTCAAACTTGAGGTAAGGCATATGCTCTCATCAATTAGAATATAAGCTTCAGAGCTTAAATAATTTGATAAATTTAAGATTTTCAGATAAAAATTTTTCAATTGCCAGCATCCTATTATAGTAAACAACTCGATAAAGATGTTTAAATTGTTATTAATTTTTCTAAAAATATTTACTTGGATTTAAATTCAGAAATAAAAAGTTGTATGGTCAATTTCCCTAAGGAAATTTCATAATTAAATCATCGAATCGAAGAGAGTATTGTTTATAATACATAAAGGTTTGACCAGATTTTTTTAAATTGCACTCTGAAGAAAGCATCTCAAAAATTTAAAAGAGACAACCTTGATCCATGTAATGAATAGGAAATAAACAAAACTAAAGCAATAATTCAGAATAAACAACGCTAATGATGAATATTGTGATGGTGATAAATTGTGAGCACTTAAATATGAAAAAGGTCTATCACAAGCAACTGTAAAAGTGGATTTTGATCCTAATAAAGTAAGAGTAAGTAAAGAAATCTTTTAATAGGAAAAAGGGAGAAAGAAATAAATCAAAAATCAAACAGGTAAAAGTGCTATGCATAAAAAAGGGTATTAAATAATTAAAAGTAATAATTCTATTAGGAGAAACAATAAAAAGTGCTGTAAAAATATATTTTTTAAACTTGGGAAGTAATATTAGAAAGTAATAAAGAACAAAAATATTGAGATGATCTTGATTTAAATATAACGCTTTAGTAAAGTTTGAAACAAGATATTAATAATGTCAAAAAGAAAAATTCAAATCGAAATAAAGAGGAAATAATTTCCACAAGATTTAATAGCTATTAAAATTCTTGCTAATGTTATTAAACTCAAATCAGAAGACCCTATTGACGCAAAGAAAATCTCTTCACGAATATCGATTGTTCAAGCATTTAATTTGGAAATATGATATCAATTATTTTATAAAGTGAGGACGAGGAATAGCAGACACCAATGACAGCTAGAGAAAGAAAAGCAAGAAATAATCAATACAGAAGCCTTGATATTCTTATTACTAGATTGAGCAGACAAGGATATTAAAATAGTTGTGATTATCTTGAAATTTCACATCTTGTTTTTATAAATCTTTCGAACTCTATAAAAAAGTCAATTTTACATTACTCTTTCATTACTATCAATTTAGGTTACCTATATTTTTCAGTTTTAATTGATATTTGTTTTCTATTGCATTTTTCTTGCCTTATGACTTTGCTTACTAAGCTATCTGAAATAGAGCTGCATTGAGAATTTATCACAAAATTGTAAATTTCTTATACTAATCTATCTTAAGGTGCAATAAATTAATGGTTTGGTAATTTAAATCAAAAGAAAACTAATTAGACTTCTTCCATTTCGCATCTCATCAAAGTAAAACTTATTAGTGTTTTTCTTTAACTGTTTTGAACACCAATTTGATGCCCTCTAACTGCTTTATATCTTTATATCATACAATTATTTATAATTTACGGAATCTCATATAAGCGAATGTAGTTAATATTTTTTAATTTCCAATTGAAAATTCCAATTTCACAATAGAATAAATTTTCCTCTCTTTTGGTATGGAAATTTTAAATATTATATGCTTCCTTCCTATTGGGTATTATATTTTTCAGAAATTTGTTTTGTTTGTTTATTTTCTTGACAGGTTAATAATAATACTGTTAAGTTCAATTGTCTAAATTACTCTTTTTAATTGAATAAGAAGGGTAGCAAGAAAAATTTAACATTTATTGATCTCATCAAAGCATAAAATAGTGGATAAATAGACTTTATATCAGATAGCAAAAATCATTGATAGTCTCGATTAATTACTTATTGAACTTATATGATCAGACCCAGTGAGAAGGGAGAAATAAGATTTAAGATTTGATTAGCTCAAGACTAGATTTGATCCCATTTCTCTTTGACATCTTCTTCGAGGTCATAATTTGGGTTTTCAATCAGAATATATTAGAGAAAAAAAATGTACAAGTAAGAAAAAATCCTTTGATCAAGTCAGAATTCTGGTTATCCAGATTACTTAGCTATTATGGCTAATCATGAGATAATTTGAAAATGTACATCATAATGATGCATTACAACTTGTGAGGAATGAAACCTCCTTATAAATATTAAAATTCAATACATTCAAATCGAGAAAAATCAAAATTTTAAACCCTTAACTGGAGCTTCATCAGAATAATTATGGGCCTTAAAGGGTATTTCCAGAAGAAATTAAGACAGACTAATTGGACTTATGGAAAGCGTACTCTGTTAAACTAATGATAAACATATGTTAATATCAGTTTGAAATGGTTACCTAAAAAAGAGTTTAGATGAAAGGATGTTTGGTATATCTAAGCAAGAAGGGGAAGAAAGAATTTGATGAGAGAAACCCTGGATACTTAAAAAAAAATCATAAGGATAAGAAAAGATCAAAGAATTTGATTAGAAGAAAATGAATTGGACTAGATTGAGATTCAAAGATCATAAAGTAATAACTTGAGGTACAGGAGGAGCATAAAATTTTGAAAAGGTCCAATTAAACGAAGATTAAATATACCCCTGGATATGTTTATTTCAACAATAGTATGTTCAGGTGAATGAGATGCCATAATCACAAACATTATATCAATTTCATCAAGGAATACCAAAGAGGCTTACCTGGTGAATGGATACTAAGGATTGACAAAGTTCTCCATTACGTGGAGGATACAACCAAGACTTTTTTATAAGAGGACTTAAAAGAACCTAACAGAAGAAATTAAATTGATTTCCCAAAAATATTCGATGCAGAAAGCAACACCCAATACCTGAGAAACAGCAATGACCCTCAACAGTTAGAATGATTTTATAATAAACAATATTTATTTTTCTCATTCTTTAATATCACCTCTAATCTTTTGGGATGAATTTCCCATATATTTATTTTTTATTTTATATGGTTGCTGCTTGCTTGAGTATATTTAATATATCAATAGGTATGAACCAACAGGGATGCTTTTCCAAGGTTATTCGTTCAAAATTTGTTAACGTTAGGATATAGATCGTCTTCTTTAAAATTGGATTAAGTTAGTTCTCGTTGATTTACAGAAACCAGAATTAAAATAAAAAACTAAATATTGTTAAACCAAGAATAGCAAAATAGAATATCTATTTATATAGATTTCGGCCCTATATTAAAAGGTAAGATCGCATAAAATATATGAAATTTTTGATTCTACTCTTTAGCAACAAATTGAATATAATACTGAATTACAGATAAAAATAAATTTAAGCTGAATAAAAGATAAAATTGAGGCATGTGCAAAATACTTTTTGTTATCAGTATTTTTTTTAATGCTTGCAAATGTTTTTTTATTTTATGGATATTTTAATTAGCTATTGCATATCTGTTTCTATCTCCATAAATGAAAATGAGCACAATAATAATTTGGTGAAACAAGCTCTATACCAAACCCATTAAAAATAATAAATCAATAATTGTATATTGCTGGTCATATGGGACCATAAGATTAAGTATAAACCTGTGAATCTGTAAAAGCAAATTTTTGAGCCGATATTATTGCTATAAAATAGCATTGATTCGAATCAGCAAGCATTCATAATTGGTTGCAAATCTATAAATCATTTCAAATTAATTGTAATTCTATCAGAGAAGGGCTTCGATGAAGACCAAATTTTTTTTTCAATTTATTTTGAAAAACTGTATTTCGATTATAAATTAGAATATTTATTTTAAATTAAACAAAGCGAATGCAAGTTACTAATCTTATGTGAAAATAAGTATCACAGAAAGTGGAGGCATAGTTAAAACCTTTGAAAGACTTTAACAATTAAAGAAGCTTGTGATAAACATTAAATTTTGCTTTCATTCATTTTGATAAATGCTGTAGACTTATGACAATCCTGGTTGTTAATATATTTGACATGGTCAATGTATCAAGCAGATAAAATACATGACTAGAAGTTACATCAATTCACCTGCTTCAAATAATACCCATGCCTTATATAGTGCCTTTGCAAATACTATCACTGTTGGAGTGGTTAAACTTGATACTGGGGAGTGTATAATGTGATACTATTTGTACTATTGAGTTCAAGTAGAGCATTCTTATAAAGGCAAATACTATCAAAAACAAATTTACTTTAACATTTAAGGATGATAACACTCATGCATGATTTAATTTATATTTATCTAAATTTCCTAGATAAAGATGTATGGATATCCTATCAATTGTGAGATCAATTCTTTGGGAAGGCTGTTAAACTAAAAAGGAGGTGATAAATTAGGATTATTGGGAAGGATCGTGTCGATTAATCTTGCCTAACTGCTTTATCTACTAATTATACAAGCCTTGATGTAATGACAAGCTGCTTGTATTGATATTCCAGGCTCTTACAATATTAGAAACTACAATGTGATTGTGAAATTAAGTAAACTGGATCTTTTAACATTTAAAATGCTAACAAAGTAAATTTTATGATTACNCAATAGGTATGAACCAACAGGGATGCTTTTCCAAGGTTATTCGTTCAAAATTTGTTAACGTTAGGATATAGATCGTCTTCTTTAAAATTGGATTAAGTTAGTTCTCGTTGATTTACAGAAACCAGAATTAAAATAAAAAACTAAATATTGTTAAACCAAGAATAGCAAAATAGAATATCTATTTATATAGATTTCGGCCCTATATTAAAAGGTAAGATCGCATAAAATATATGAAATTTTTGATTCTACTCTTTAGCAACAAATTGAATATAATACTGAATTACAGATAAAAATAAATTTAAGCTGAATAAAAGATAAAATTGAGGCATGTGCAAAATACTTTTTGTTATCAGTATTTTTTTTAATGCTTGCAAATGTTTTTTTATTTTATGGATATTTTAATTAGCTATTGCATATCTGTTTCTATCTCCATAAATGAAAATGAGCACAATAATAATTTGGTGAAACAAGCTCTATACCAAACCCATTAAAAATAATAAATCAATAATTGTATATTGCTGGTCATATGGGACCATAAGATTAAGTATAAACCTGTGAATCTGTAAAAGCAAATTTTTGAGCCGATATTATTGCTATAAAATAGCATTGATTCGAATCAGCAAGCATTCATAATTGGTTGCAAATCTATAAATCATTTCAAATTAATTGTAATTCTATCAGAGAAGGGCTTCGATGAAGACCAAATTTTTTTTTCAATTTATTTTGAAAAACTGTATTTCGATTATAAATTAGAATATTTATTTTAAATTAAACAAAGCGAATGCAAGTTACTAATCTTATGTGAAAATAAGTATCACAGAAAGTGGAGGCATAGTTAAAACCTTTGAAAGACTTTAACAATTAAAGAAGCTTGTGATAAACATTAAATTTTGCTTTCATTCATTTTGATAAATGCTGTAGACTTATGACAATCCTGGTTGTTAATATATTTGACATGGTCAATGTATCAAGCAGATAAAATACATGACTAGAAGTTACATCAATTCACCTGCTTCAAATAATACCCATGCCTTATATAGTGCCTTTGCAAATACTATCACTGTTGGAGTGGTTAAACTTGATACTGGGGAGTGTATAATGTGATACTATTTGTACTATTGAGTTCAAGTAGAGCATTCTTATAAAGGCAAATACTATCAAAAACAAATTTACTTTAACATTTAAGGATGATAACACTCATGCATGATTTAATTTATATTTATCTAAATTTCCTAGATAAAGATGTATGGATATCCTATCAATTGTGAGATCAATTCTTTGGGAAGGCTGTTAAACTAAAAAGGAGGTGATAAATTAGGATTATTGGGAAGGATCGTGTCGATTAATCTTGCCTAACTGCTTTATCTACTAATTATACAAGCCTTGATGTATTATTAAAATACAGTTGTATTATTGATAATGACAAGCTGCTTGTATTGATATTCCAGGCTCTTACAATATTAGAAACTACAATGTGATTGTGAAATTAAGTAAACTGGATCTTTTAACATTTAAAATGCTAACAAAGTAAATTTTATGATTACAAATGAGATTATTTAATATAAAAACAAAATTATATATATTTCTTTAAAAAGGTGTAGTATTTAAATACTTTATATTTTTTATATTTTTATTCACTATTCATGAGCTAATTAATAAATTCAGTATATAGTTGAGACAGAAAATATTAATTTGAAATTACTAAATAATTATTCAATATATTACATTAATCCTATTGATATTTTTATGAAAGTGTGAATATCTTCATAGTTTTATAATAATACCACAAAGATTCTCTCTTTTTTTGGTCCAATTTTTTCCTTATTAATATCAAAGGGACAAATTCATTTAAAAAAGCTTGAAATAAAACATAAAAAGCAATTCAATAAATTAGATGTTTAATCATTAAAAGGATGCATTTAAATGTCAAAAATCTTTAAAGGGATAATATTTTCAGTGGTATAGTACTTACAAATTTATATTTTGCAGTGTAAAGAAATTGCTTCCTAATGATATCAATTAGAATTAAGGGTACTGACAAAAACTTAGTTTAAATTTACTCGATAACATGCCATAAAATATTTACTTCAAATATTCCAGTGTTTCTATAACGATTGCAATAGTACAACTAGTAAGATTATTCTTGATTACTTATTAATTAATTTTAGGGATAAAAGGTGAATGGATATTCCTTCCGATAATTGATCTAATGAGTAAGTAACAATTTTAGGATGAACCTAAAATGGCTTCGTCTCTGATTAAAGGTAAAATCAAACATCTAGGTTTACTTTTTTTTTATAAGAAAAAAATTAAACCAATATAACTTTGGTTAAGCAGTTTCATTCAAATTTCCTTAAAAAGCACAAATATTTTCCCAAATTGTAATAATTTGTAAAATTAGCCTTTTTTTTTTCTTTATATTTGAGGACATTTTAAAGTAATTCTTTCATGAGTGACCATATAATTTTGTAATTTCTCTGATTTTCTTGGTGAACTGAATGTGCTCCAGTAAATCTTAAATAATTAAGTATAGAATCAATCGCAAAATACAAAACCTTTGTAGTAATATTTATAATTTAATGTTCAAGAAATGCAGATTTCTAAAACACCAGTTATTGAAGAAAAAACAAATAAATTCTGGATAATGTGAAAATCAATGCATATTGAGCAATTAAAATTATTTATAATAATATATTTGAACTTTTGCTTCCGTTTTGTATTTGTGAAGAACCATTTTAACTGAATTTGCTAAACTGTGAATTTCTAATATATAATGTTTCTAATTCTTTAAATAATCAACACTTATATCCAAATTGATAATATCGGCTACATTAATTAATTGGTTCCTAAAAAAATATCAAAGACTTTTAATTCCACTTTAGTAATTTAAATCCTTCTTAAATAAAACAAATTTAGATTAATCTTTTAAATATATTCCTTTAATTTCATGCAATCTACTAATCAAAATATGCATTAATCATTATATTACTCAGATCACAATTATATTCTTATTAAATTAATGATTTCATACTTTAAAGAACTATTTAATGCACTATCATAGTTGGTCTCAACCGGATTAAATTGAACTTTAAGTCAATTATTAAGATCAAAATTTAACCTTGTTCATTCAGTTAGGATGTTTGTTATAAAAATTAAAAGTAACAAGTAAAATCCATATTTTTTACTCTTGTGCGTTAAATTTGACTCTATTAATTTATTTTATTCTATTTAATTGAGTTTTCTCAATCTATTTCCAATTAACTTAAGCTTGTCTCTAATGAGTTCAAGTCCTGGTTTATTTGGTCCATCTCATGTTTCATCACAGTCAGACTCATCTAGGATCATCAAATTTAAAAATTCCCATCTAAATTTCTTTTTATCACTAATCACACCTTGGTTAACTTAATATTCAAATCAAGAGTCTTCTCCCATTGATCTTATTTATCATAAAAGTAAAGTTTGATTTAGATGAAAAATGAGTCATATACTTAAGAAGGAGAAAACGAATAAGCGAAGCCAGTTAAGCAGCCAGAAAGTGATTTGTCTACGGTCACATTACTATTATCCCTAGGCTTCTAACTTGTGTAAATATCAGAAGCAATTCTCAATTAAATCTATCTTTCAGTAGAAAATTAAAATAGATGCAGAAAAGAAATAGGGCAAAAAATTATCCTAAGGAATCTCATCTTGAAAATAGACCTTGTCTTTATAGACTCTGTCAAAAATATTCCTCTATTCACACATCCTTAAAAAATACAAAGGTATAAATTTATTCTAATAAACTAAACATTAAATTTGATCTTATTATATTAAAATTTAACTAGTCCAAGAACAAATATCCTCAAAATGAATAATTAATTTTCAGTTCCTTGGTTAAACACCCATAGTGAGTAGAATAATCTAATTCTTAAATAAAACCCTCATATATATTAAATTAAAGCCACTGTTTTAAATATATTGTTATAACCTAAATCAATAATTAAATGGATTTCGACCATAGCAGATCTAAATTAACTTCCAAGTGAAATCCTAGGATATATTTATCTTAATTGACCAATCTCAAAAGAGAAAAGTAACTTATTACAAATTTAATATACATCAAATAACATTTCTTAGTTTAGAAAAATATCATCCTAATATTTTTAATGAAAAAAAAATTTAATCGGCCTAACTGATGACAATTAAGCTGAATGGGAGGCTATTGCAGAAAAATAAATAGCCAAAATGGACCCTAAAGGACTCTAGATTGAGCATGGTTTAGGCTATTTTATCGACCTTCTTGAAAGAAACAAATTTTTCTAGCCTAGGTCTAAGACAATTGGATGGCACTCCAATATTCATTCCTCATAATATTAATTTTAAGGAGTAGAGAAATATTTTAGATTAAGTTTAATACCTTGTAAGGAAGACAGATGTATTTGGGAAATCATTTTTGGATTAATTACAAGTTTTAAAAAATAAATCTTCCTTTTAAACAATTTATAAAAATTTAATCCTTAAACATAAAAAAAAATAGTCCTTCATAATCACAAATAAAATCAGAATTGATCAGAGGCATATTAGAGAAGAAGGTTATTGATTATAAAAATATTCCTTTTTGATAGGATTAAATAAGAATTGATTACTGAATTATAAAGAGTAGGTAGGCTAGTTTATAATCATAAGAATGGTGTGTTCCCTAGCTAATTCCCATTTCTATTTTTACCAATGTAATTCTCTAATAATAAAAGATGAATTCACTTTATGAAATGGAACAATAATTCAATTCTAGTTAATATCAAGAGGGAACTTATAGACTAACTATAAGAGACCTATAAGATAGGCTTAGATTCCTAACTCATTAGCCAGGTCTA